ACATAGGCAAAGGTCCAGTGTTTCCATTGCCCTCACAGTGTGCCATCCCCACAGGAAACAGTCATTGATGTCCCCAGCCTCAAAGTAGTCCTTCACACCCTGAAATACATCTGCTCAGTTCAGTCCAGTCTCAGCTTTCCTCTTGGGGCTCTGTCCATATCTAGTTCACGTACTCTTAAGTACTCTGGCAGCTTTTACACATAGATAGGACTCCAGTCTTTCCCAGCCATCGCGAAACAGTGGGAATGTCGTGTAGCCTTATGTGTGTTCCTGTCCCTCTGGGAGCTGGTAAGCACCTGGAGCCTTGGCCATCTGACATAACCTGGGTAGGTTGTAGTGTGGCTCTTCACTGTTGAGTGAAATAGAGAATATGGAGTGTGTACCAGAGGTGATTGCCCAAGGAACTACCCAGAAGCTGGGTGCCCTGACCAGCCATGCAGTGACTGAAGGGATCTGCCCACTGATGAGGGAGCTGGTCTGCATTGTTTATGCCATTTTCTTTGCCTTCGTAAGGAACCTAGGAAGAGAACAGGAAAATCTTACCTGGAGGCTCAGAGTTACCTATCCATATGAATGGAAATAACGTACAGGATGAAAAAAAATGTAGGGAGCCCCCTTAAAATAACATGCTGGCTCAGACCAAAACATGTCAGGGAAAGACTGGCTAAAGTGAAAGACAACAGGGGAAGCCATGCCATGACAAAAAGCTACATAGCAGGGATGGGATCAGTGGGCTGGAGGGGTGGTTCAGTGGATAAATGCACTGACTGCTCTTCCAGAGGACAAGTTCGATTCCCAGCACCCACATGGCAGCTCACAACTGTAACTCAGTTCCAGAGGATCCAACACCCTCAAATATGTGCAGGCGAAACATCAATGCACGTGAAATAAAAATCATTTTAAAAAAAATTAAGGGTGGTGTTTTAGTTAGGGTTTTTGTTGCTCCGACCTAACACCATGACCAAAAAACAAAAAAGGGTTTATTTTGCTTACACTTCCATATTGCTATTCGTCAGAGAAGGAAGTCAGGACAGGAACTCAAACAGAACAGGATCCTGGAGATAGAGATAATGTAGAAGTCATGCAGGAATACTGTTTACCAGCCTGTAAGAACCCAAGACTACCAGGGATGGCACCACCCACCATGGGCTGGGCCTCCTGCATTGATCACAAATTTAGAAAATGCTTTACAGCTGGATCTCATGGAGGCATTTCCTCAAGTGAGGCTCCTCTGATGACTATGTGTCGAGTTGACACATAAAACCAGCGAATACAGATGGGATCCATGACATGGAGACAGACCCTGGAGCATGCAGAAGACAACACAGTCCCTCAGAAGGGTGAAGAGAAAACTACATGCCTGCTCAGTAGCTGGAAAAACAGATTACCCTCCTCACTAAACCAAGCTAATAATGTCTGGCCATGTCACACACAAGTCAGTTTTCCTACTCATCACCAACCAATGTGACAGACAATGCCCTTAAGTGAGACTTGCCAGATTCTGGCTCATGGCAACCATAGCTCCCCAGCTTTCAAAGGAACTGAGTCTTAGGTTATGGAACTCAGAGCAGAGCCCACACAGGATAGACTGCACAGAGTGCATGCCCAGCCCAACCAAAGTGTCATTTGACCTTAGTTGTTCTGCCATGTCCATCCCTGAGATCTTTGAAGCTAGAAAGAGAAGTGACCTGGAGTAGGAGCTTTGCGATTGAGCCCACTGGGTAGAAGTTAGTGGCTACTATTGGCTCAGCAAAGGGAAAAATGAATCCTAAAGGCTATGCTGGCCCTGCCCAAATTGGCAAGATGGCTGGATAGGTGAAGGTACCTATGCCAAGCCTGATGACCCTCTGGTACTCAGGATGGAAGGACGGAATAGCCTCTCCCAAGATGTCACCTGGCTGCCATGTGTGTGCCATGGTGCAGATGCAAGCAAGCACTCAAACACAAGGCGTAATTTTAAAAAAGACACACCCAGAATAAAGCTTCTAAATGCTTGTAGTAATAAAATACCCATACTATGCCACAACAAGCCACCAAGCCTGCAGTCTTCTGTCCCAAGGTACCAGGATGTCCACAAAACTATCCTGTAACAGGAATTGCCATCATAAACAGCAGTCTCTAGCTCCGGTCATGCAGACACAGGTAGTCCGGAGAGGGCTGAATGGGAGGAGAACTTCAGAGGGACTGCCCAGCCAGGTTTATTTCTCAATTTCCATCAGGGAGACCTAAGGTTGCCCTCCCAGAAGAGTGAGGTAGGCAGCCATAGGCTTGCCAAATCATCACCAGCACTACCCAGTGTTGCCAAGCTTAAGATCCCAAGAGCAAAAAAAAAAAAAAAAAAAAAAAAAAAATCCTCAGGTCAAACACCAGAAACTTTAAGAGAGCAACAGCCAACACTGATGGAATGAGTCAAATATCTGAAGAATCTAAAAGATGTCAGAATATCTGTCATAAAAGTGTTCCAATATTTATGAATCCTAAAATTTGAAAAAGAATTCCCTACAAATATTCAGAACTTACAGAAAACCAAAATTATAAAGCTGAAGACAAACCTTAAAACTTTTGTAGGTGGACTCAGTGGAAACAAGTCAGTAAGCCAAAGGATGTTTGTCTGGAGACAGCAGACTCAGCACTCATGTGATCCAAGCCCTACCTGAAGAGGAGTGGAATCACAGAGAAACCAAACAAAGAAATAGCTCAGATTCTACAAAGGACTCAAACATACAGATCGATGGAGAAATAGACCCTGAGTTGATTAAGTGCAAAGCTGCTCCAAGAAGCATCAATCTCTAAACACTAAAAACAACTGGGCTGGCAAAATGGCTCAGCAAGAAGAGACACTTGCAGAGATAGGCACAGATACACATAGTTAAAAAGTGTTCCTAATGTTGGTGGTAGCAGACCTAACTCACACGTGTGTATCATAACACCCATAGTAGCCTCTGAACACTGCTTAAGAAGATACATTAAATGACAGCCTGAACAGATGTGGCTACAACTACAGTTGCACACGCGTATCCAGCTGAGGCATTTTCCCAGCTAAGCCAGTGAGCACCTGAAAGGATGTTCAACAGTATTGGATGGCAAAGAACTTCTGAGACCGCTCGCCAAGAAATTAACTGGCAAAAGAAAAAAGCAAAGGCTATGTCAATCCTGAGGATTCCACAGACCTCAGTGAGAACAAAGGTGCGGTATCAGTATCTTAGACTGGCAGGAACTCCACAGTAGTGTCAGGATCATGGATGTATGCCCTGAGGACTACAAAACACCACCGAAAGAGATCTCTTTCAAGTGGAAAACCCATCCTGTGTCCTTGGCTCTGGAAGGTAGTGGAGAGTTAGCCCCCATTAGCCATCCATACTGCACTCTTCCATCCTCCTCAGCTTTTGTGGAGTGCACGTGCCTCACCCACACTCTCCTCTCATAGGGAGAGCTGCAGGTCCAGTTCAAGCCTACCCTGGTGGGAGCTCGGCTGCTGCTCTGTCCGTCACTGCCCCCTGGGGGGCAAGCACAGCACTAGCGGCCAACCCTTCCTGGAGCTTGGCTGCAGCTGTGTCCCCCACATCCCAGCACTTTTCTTCCACCAGCTTAGCAGCAACAGGCGAAGCCACTGGTCCTCCTGTTGACTGACAGCCCAGAGGGATGGTGATGAAGCCCTGGTTGGGCAGGGAGTACCACAAGTATCTGGCCACTCGTGGGCCTCAACAACAGCTGGCCAAGTTTAGTGTATGGGCCACCAGTATTCGGGAGGAGTTTGGAATTCCAGGATTGGCTACTACATGCAGGTCACGTGACGAAAGCTATGATGTGTGTCATTATAGTGTCTGATGTAACATCAGGAATTACAAGAATGTGTCAAACTGTCACAGAGATCTGGTACAGGTGTGTGAAAACATTGCTGTTGTGTGATTAAGGACAGAAAGTGAAGGCAAAACCTGCCCAGGGCGGTCCAGATCATCTAAGATAAGGATGATGATCTGAGAAAAAGGGAAGCTGGAGCCCCAGTCTAGTTTCATAGAGGACTGTCTGGGATGCAGTCAGCTCAGCCCCTCTTAACCATCGCTCAGCTGAGCAGACTGGTGTTCTGGTCTGCGTGCTGATAAGGATGGATAGGTTTCAGAGTGCACATGACACTAAAAACACACGTTCAGAACTCACTTTGTAGACCAGGCTGACCTCGAACTCACAGAGATTGGACAGCCTATGCCTCCGGAGATCTGCGATGAAAAGGCCTGTGCTACCACCGCCCTGCTTCGTGCCTTTTAATTTTTTTAAAAAAGATGTTTATGAGTCTGCATGTATGTGTATTTGTCTGCACTTACAGATGAGCACCATGTGCATGCCTGTAAAGGCCAAAAGAGGCCATCAGATCCCCCTCGAATTGGAGTTATCGGTGTGAGCTGTTGTGTGGGTTCTGTGTCCTCTGCCTTCGTGCATCCATAATTTCAACAGCCCTGCTTAGCTCACGCCCTCTGATCCAGATCGCCTCAAAAGTATCAACGCATGACTTTCTAATTTCACGCAATTAAATCATCCGGGAAGGCGGATCTGGGGAATCCTATGTCCAGCGAGCACTTAGGTCTACAAGCACTGGCCACCAACCCTTCCAGGCGCTCAGTCTTTGCTGCTGCGGTGCCTCTCATTACACCGTGCATCCTAGCGCTTTTTTCTTCCACCAAGTTTGCGGGGACGGGTGAAGTCACTGGTCCTTTTGTCATTGGTGACAGCCCAGGGAGGTGGGCTCCCAGGGCACGGTGCTATTAGCTGGAGCACCTAGATGATTCGCCCAGAGCGGCGCGCGCTTTGCGGGAAGCCGGTTAGATCGGACCGGCTGCGCGGTGGCCCTACTAAGGCAGTCCCCAGCTCCGCCCCACTGCCACCTGACCCCGCATGACCAATCAACCAGTCAGGGGCGGAGGCAGGGCCCGTGCGGCTCGCAGATTGGCTGAAGCGCGACGCGCAGCCAAGGCGGATACCCGGGGACCCGAGACTCCGCCCCGTCAGAGACTTCGGTGCGCTCAGGCTTGGGGTGACCTGCCGGCGATCAAGGGGATGGACACGGCGCGAAATGGCATGCGGGGCCGTGTGGAGAGCCCACCGGACAGGTGCGCTCTCTCTGAGGAGCCCGCAGGGCCTGGGGACTCTTGGGGGACCTCACTGAGGGTATGATGAGGCTGGAGGAAGGAGTCCCAGGGACACACAGAAGTGTCAGGCCACACGACCCGACCAGGAGAGAACAGGCTACCGCCGAAGCAGAGGGCAGAAGGGGGCCCGCGGGTGACAACTGTGCCGAGTGTGGCCGCATCATCCTCTCGTGTTTCGGGCTTCTTCCCAGGGAATGGGGTCTTGGAGGCTGGAGCTGGAAGCCGAATCGCGATTATCTGCATTTTACCAGAATCGCTGCTTCTTAGAGACTAGGGCAGCGTGGCTGTGGGACAGGGGAGAACTTTGGGGACGATCTCTAAGGCCCATTTGACTGCCCCGAGGTGAAAAGTTGGCTTTGGGGAGGGAGCCCTAGGGGCACCAGGACGGTGGGGAAGACTTAGATTCTCTTGCTGTCCACAGGGCTGCGGGACCTCCTCCCCTGGCACACAAGGAGCAGGGGTGGTGTGCCAGTCCTGATTCAGCCTTCTCCCACCCAGGAATGTGTCTTACCAAAAGCCTCCTCTCCACCCCCATCTCATTTTTTTCTCTTTTCTCCTTTTCCCTGTCTCTCCTCCACCCCAGCCCCACAAGGCCTCGATATGTTGCCCAGGCTACTCCTGCCTCCTTCCACTTGGAGTACAGGTCTAGGATGTGAGATATCTGTCTCTCTAAAAATTTAAGTCTCCATGGATGTGGTGGAACTTGTCCATAATCCCAGCACTGGGGCTGAGACAAGAGGATTGTGATTTGGAGGCCAGCCTGGACCTCACAGTGAGAACCTATCTCATAAAGGCCTAAACCTGGCGGCTTGAGCCTGCACTAGACAGTCATTAAATAGTTTCACTTTCTCCTGGAAGCAGCTAATAACAGAGAGTCAATTGCTGATAAAATGCAAACCGTAAAAACAGGTCAGCCAAGCTACAGATGGGAAAACCACAGTCACTCCGCAGACCTGTGGGTGTGCAGCACTTTGGGGGGCTTTTTATAGGAGGGAACAGACTTGGGACACAGGCAAAGCCTGAAGCAATGGGAATTCCGGCCCCAGGGTGGTCAGGTACACCTTCCAAGGCCCCAAGCATTGCAAGGTCAGGTGACTCTGGTGCTTAAAGCAAAGCTAGGAGATCAAAGCTTCTTCCTGCCTGTTCTGTTGTGGTCTTGTGGCCATCGTTGGCCGTTGTGTTCAGGCTCACCAGTGCATTGGGTTGAACCCTGGTTTGATTTAAAACCAAGCGAAGTAATGACTATTTTCAGGCTGGATTGCCTACCATAGAGATTTCTGAAGGTCTGTGGCCTGGTGAGAATGCAAGCAGACAGTTCAACCTAGTAAGGGTCTCTGGGGCTTCGCACTCTGTGTCCTCCTGTGGACGAAGCCCCTGCTGGAAGACAAAGCCTGCTTGTTCCTGGAGCTACTCATCACTCCTCCCTACTAAGCATGTGACTCTTGGGTCAGATGATGACTGGGACCACAGGGGACAAGAGGGAGGGAGGGAGGGAGGGAGGGAGGGAGGGAGGGTGGGAGGGAAGGAAGGAAGGAAGAGGGCCAAGCTGAGGCCTGCAGTTTCAAGTAGAACCATGGAGCCTCACCCAAGCAGATATGTTATAGCACAGACTTTAAAAAGTTCACATAGGGGTGGGGGTGGGGCAAGGAAAACTGAAAATGCAAATTGTCCCAGGGAGAAGTCTGCCTGGTGAAAGCCCTGGAGGGGAAGCCATAGGCCTAGGAAACCTACTGCAATGACAGAGTACAAAGCTCCTTCCTTGAGGCTGTTCCTGGAGGACTCACAGGGGCAGACGGCTCCAAATTGGTGGGAAATTCCCCAAGGGAATGTGGGGCTCTCCAGCCATTGGCAGTTCCCTCTTCCCTCCCTTCCTGGAGTTGGACCACAGATCTGGCCTCCAGCGGTCAGTCAACCTTGTGCTAGTGGAGATTATGACCATCTTGTATGGGGCAGCTACTGGGTGACTGGAAACCACGGTGTCTCCCATCAGGAGGGGAACATGAAGAACTGAAACCTGATGTGCTACCTGGGCCTTTGCTCTGGATGCAGAAGACCCTAGCTATGGACCCCCAAAAGAGTGTTGCTGCCTACACCCTGCCTCCCCTCCTTTTACAGACTGTCCTCTTTCTTCTAGGAAGGTCTATATGGACTACAATGCCACCACACCTCTAGAGCCCGAAGTCATCCAGGCTGTGACAGACGCCATGAAGGAAGCCTGGGGAAACCCCAGCAGCTCCTATGTGGCAGGTAATCTAGAAGAATCCATGAAAATAAAGGGAACCAGAGGCCTCTTAGAGAAAGTATATACTAGCCTGGCTTGGTGGTGCCTGCCTTTAATCCCAGCACTCAGAGGCAGACTGCTCTCTGTGAGTTCAAGGCCAGCCTGGTCTACAAAGTGAGTTCCATGACAGACAGGGCGTGTGTGTGTGTGTGTGTGTGTGTGTGTGTGTGTGTGTGAGAGAGAGAGAGAGAGAGAGAGAGAGAGAGAGAGAGAGAGAGAGAGAGAGAGAGAATGAGAGAGTATAAACTGTATGCTTACATGAGATTGGGGGTGGACTTTCTTTTTTCTTTCAACTTTAAGGTTAGTACAATGCCTATATTGCTTAACAGAATTCTCAAGAGTTTTTTAAAGCACACTTTTTAAAAAATGGAAACAAAATAATTACATTTTAACCTTTAAACATTGTGTCACTAAAGTCTACATAGTGTCTTCTATGTAAATTAGCGTCGTGTTACAATTATATACCTGTCTTGATTCTTTAGTCTTCTGTCCCAGTATGCTACCTAGGAACTGCACATCTGATGGATTTGTTACATACACTCATTCATATGCACATTGCATAGGACACATTCCTGTGTCAGAAGACAACATGCACCAGTCAGTTCTTTTTTCCCAAGATGAAACATATCTTGAGCAGTCATTTTTGGAATTTTTTTCTGAAAAGTCCCTGATTGTACCTGGAGCCTTGTTGTCACCCTGGTGGCTGTAACCTTTCAGCTATAACCTGCCACCTTCCCCCAACAAGAAACAGATCTCGCTGAGATCTCTTTATAAGCCTGCACCTACTAAACATCTTTTCTGCAGCTAGTGGTCCATCGCCATGCATTTTGGTGATGTGCTTTTCAGCATCAAAAGTCTATAAAAAAGGAAAGTTGCAGGGCTGAGGAGATCTCAGTGGGTAAAGTACTTGATACATAAGTGTGAAAATCTGAGTTTGGATCCACAAAACCTGTGCAAAAGCCACAGAATTATGGCAGCAGACCTATAATCCCAGCACCCTTGAGGCAGAGACAGGAACCCCCAGGACAAACTGACTAACTAGGTTAGCAAGTCTGCAGCCTCCAGACCCTGCCTCAGGTTCTGCAGGAGACCCTGAGTAACACAAGGGTCTAGCTAAGGGAAATACTCAACTTCTGACTTCCACATGTATGTGCACCCAAACATGCAAAACACGCGTGTACAACACAGTATATACACATGCAAACACACATACACAACACATATACATGGACACACATGCACAACACAGTAAATACACATGCAAACACATACATGCAACATAAAGTAAAATAAATTTGAAAAAAGGAAAATTAATTTGTTGCTTGGGTTATATAATATTCTTTCTGGGTTTTGTTTTTTTTTTGTTTGTTTGTTGTTGTTGAGACAGTTTCTCTGTATAAACCTGGCCATCCTGGAACTCAGACTGTAGACCAGGCTGGCCTCAGACTCACAGAGATCCTCTTGCCTCTGCCTCCGGAGTGGTGGGATTAAAGGCATGCACCACCACTGCTGGGCTTATAATTATATTCTTATTTCTTTCTAGTTTGCCTTTGTAATGTAGAGTTTTACATTTGCATTTTGGGGTGATAATTTGCTTTAAGTCAGTAGTTAAAAGACAGCATTCCACATTTTTCTACAGACTCTGAGGCTAATCCTGCTTTGCCTTCCTAGTTAACGTTTATATCAGCAGAAAGGCAAATGCCCTGCACCCAGCCCTGTGCTGTGTGAATAGGGTGACTAAGACAAACCACATTAATGGTGGTTTATTGGGAACTGAGTGCCAGCCAGGGGACTAAAGATGACCCACGCTAACCAATCTGTCACACGAGTTGTCAACCCCAGGTCTTACTAGTACCTATGTCCTTCCTAAAGGAGTTTGGTGGAGTTCATAGCAGTTGCTTATTGAAAGCTCCTCAGCACCTCAGTGACACAGACTTTCCAAATCAGATGCTAGTCACTCATTAACTTGTCTGTTGCCTATTTCTGGACATTGCCTTCTGCCTAATGTCCCCTGTAGTATAGTCAAACTTCTGATAGCATACCCTGGAGAAGGCCAAGAAGATTAAGGGTAACCAGGAAGTTGGGCACGCAGTGGGAGACTATTGCTGGGTGACATTCCAGCTGCTCTCTGTTGATATTTGAGTAGGAATGCCAAGAAGGGAAAGAAAAGCAAAAATCATGAGTCACAGATTTTTGTCTGTCTGTTTTCAAGACAAACCAGGTCTCACTGTGTAGCAATGGCTTCCTGGAATTCACTGTGTAGCCCAAGCCTGCCTCACATTCACAGAGATCCACCTGCTTCTGCCTCCCGAGTGCTGGGGTTAAAGGCGTGTGCACCACCACACCCAGCTCATCACAGATGTTTCAGTGTTTCACAGTATTAGGTTTTAAAATCTACAGCAACTTGTGCTGAGGTTCTGTGGGAAGAGTTTTGAGTACTCCAGATGTGGCCTTGCTCATAACAGCCAACAACATCTGGAAGTGAGCTGAGGAGGGGAGGGGTTCTGACCAAATGACTGGGCAGCATGGGGAAGCTGGTCTGGACCTAGTGTCAAATGTAGGGACCACTGGTGTGTTGGCTGGGAGTCCCGTAGAGCCACCTTCTTCGACACTGTCCAGTACAGCTAGGCAGCAGCTAGGACACCTAATTGAAGGCAGATGCTCTCGACATTCCTCCTGTGTCTCCCAAGGGTGACCTGCAGTTTGAGAGAAGGCAGTGGCTGACTGGGTGTATGAAGGTCTCACACTGTTTTGCTTACTTCTGTGGTTCTGGACCTCCTCTCCTTGCCCTGTCTTGAATGGTGTGGAGGTGGGCAGATAGACATAGCTCCTTCCCTAGTATCCAGTAAGACAGCAGAGCTGTGCTAAAGGAGCTCCTAGGTCCCTCATTCCCAACCAGGCTGTCCCTGGCTCTTGAGTTCCGGTGGTTAGCACCCTTTGCTGACACCCCACCAAGTGGTAGGAAAGCGTGCATGTCCCGGGTGGACGTGTCTAGAATCACTCCAGCTCTTGGCCTCCCTTGTCTAGTTGCCCTGTTAGATGTGGAATTGCTAGTAATGACTGTGTTTTTTGTCTTTCAAGGTAGGAAGGCCAAGGACATTATAAACACAGCTCGGGCGAGCCTGGCCAAGATGATAGGGGGAAAGCCCCAGGACATCATCTTCACTTCCGGAGGCACGGAGGTAAAGCTGCTGCCTCTGCTTGCTGAGCCAAAAGGCATGGGTAGGGTGGGGGTCGGGTGACCTTGGTGGCTTTCTCCTTCCTATTGCTCTGGAACTCTCCTGTGCTTTCCAACTATGTTGTGTATGTCACTGAGCTTGAGGTTTCATCTGTCTCAGTGGAACTCATTTTTAAGTTGATAGAGTGCACTAGAAAGAACTGGTTAGACCTCCCAGGGAGGTGAGAGAAGTTTCCTGGGGCCTCATAAGAAGTTCTGGGAAAGGGGCTGTGCATAGCACTTGCAGATCGGAGGACTTGTGTTCTTTTTAAACCAATCTGCTGACTCAGTACAGCTTCTGTCAAAATTCTGACAGTGGACTCTCACAAATTAACTCATGTGGAAGCTAAGAGTCAAGACTTCTGGAAGACTAAGAGCCCAAAGAGAGAAGGCAAGGACACTCCCCAAACCAAGTCTGTAAGAGCTCCTGTAACTAGGCAGACAGCTTTGGCAAGGATAGACACTTGGTCAAAGACAGTGTGTCAGTGCGGACACTTACCACGTGACTAGGTGGCCACACATCTTGCCTGCTCAGGACAGGCCTGCACAGCTGTTGGCACAGTAATAGGCCATAAGATTGTCATGTGACTGAGTGGGAGGATAGTAGGGAACCCTGCTGGACTGTGCTGCCACAGGGCCCAGGAGTCAACTTCTGCTTTTCAGCAGAGATGGGACTAAGAAGTGACATTAGAAAACTCTTAGCGGCTGCCTCAGCACCCCTGTAGTGTCTGACAAATGAAAGGTTTCTCAAAGCACATGTGGATAGTATCTTCTTTAAAGGAGAACACGCAACTGGGCAGCCGAGGCAGGAAGATCACAGATATGAGCCAAAACAAACCAGGGAGACACTGAATTCTGTCACAGCAAAAAATGACAGATAAACTTTGCATTATCAGAGAACACTTCGAGGAAAGTCAAAGAGCATTTAGAAAAGGTGTTTACCTCACAGAGCTGACAAACAACAAGCACCCAGGACAGCTGGAAACTCAGGTGCAGTGCAAGGGAGGCCCCAGGGCTTTCTACCCTTCGGGACCTCGCCTGACCAGTGCAGAAGTGTGAACAGTGGAGCTAACTGGAAATGATGTACCCTGAGGTAAAACAGGCGATTCACAGGCTCAGGTGAGAACCGAAACTCCAAGGCAGGCTGAGTGTGCTGCCAGACCCCTTGCTTCCGCTTGAATCACTAGGAGAAGCCACCTCCTTCTGCTCTGCTACCCAGCGGGTTCTCCTGGCCGTGATCTGGGGCCAAGTACTGTGGAATGACATGTTCTCTGAAGGCAGGGGCGTATTTGATTTTTTATTTTTTTTTCTTTCATCTTATTTATATTTGTGCATGTGTTTCCTCCAGCTTGTGTGTTCCTCCAACCTGGGGTGGAATTCCTCCTTCCTGTCAGGTTTATGTAATATGAAAGTTTGGGCTTACTAAGAAAACAGGCACACATGAAGGGAGTTCTAAAGTATTCTTGTTTGGAAGCTTTCTGAAGGTGCAGGGCTGTCAGGAGGTTGGTTTTCTCTGTTTTTTGTTTGTTTGTTTGTTTGTTTTTCCTTTCTGCTGTGTTAGGAAGGAGCATAATGAGCGAGAGTTTCCTCTCTTTCCGCTGGCAGCTTTGGTGAAAGCTCTCTCTATATATATTGTATCTCTACAGTCAAATAATTTAGTAATCCACTCTATGGTGAGATGCTTCCATGAACAGCGGACCCTGAAGGGGCACGTGGTTGACCAGCACAGCCCCGAGGAGGGGACTAGGCCCCATTTTATCACTTGCACGGTGGAACATGACTCCATCCGGCTGCCCCTGGAGCACCTGGTGAAAGATCAAATAGCAGGTTAGTGACCGTGAGGACCGTCCTGGACCTCAGTGAGGGGACAGAGGCCACTTGGAGCTCAGTTCAGTGTACCAAATCTTATTGGCCTATTCAGAAGCTGATGGCTGTTCCCACTGTTCTTACTTTCAGCTGTTAGGAATAACACTGCATAAGCCACTTAGGGAGAGTGTTTGTGTGGGAGTTGGGTCAGAATTGCTGGGTCATACAGAAGCCAAACTTGAGCCAAGCGGTGGCGGTGCATGCCTTTAATCCCAGCACTCGGGAGGCAGAATCAGGCGAATCTCTGTTAGTTCGAGGCCAGCCTGGTCTACGGAGCTAGTTCAAGGGCAGCCAAGGATACACAGAGAGACCCTGTCTCGAAACCATATTGACAGATTCTCGGGTAGACTTGATTAACCTTAGGCTTTGCCTTCCAGGTCAGTGTCACAATCTGATACCACCATCGGCAGGCAGTTGCTTGTCCCTGCCGGAGCTTCTTCTCTGTCTCTTCTGTCATAATCACCATCACGGGCCGTGCCTCTGTGGTCTTTCGGTGCCTAGCGTCTTTTCACACTTGTCTTCGATATTTTGTAAACTTATCCTTTGTAGGACACTCTGTTCATGTTCTTGCCTTTTCTGGTTTTATTTTCAGTGTTTAGTGACGTTGGGGATTGATCACAGGGCCTCAAGTGTGCTAGGCCAGTACTCTGCCCCTCACAGCTCCTGCAGCCCCTTGCCCTAATTTTTACTGAAGTACTTATCTTTTATTGACTTGTAAGAATTTCACATATATTTGACACAAGCCAACAAAGTTTTGGTGAGGTCTACTTCCTTTTGTTTTTTGTTTTTGTTTTGTTGTTTTGTTTTTGGACTTTGTCTTGAGTCATATCTGTGAAGACTTCCCCCTACCTCAGGCCACAAAGATTTCATTCCTATCTCAGTGCCTAGGAGGTTTTCAGCTTTGAGTCTTACAGTTAAGTCTGTGGTGCACTGTGAGTAAGAGTTTGTTTCTTTGTATGAGATTGAATCTGTTTTATGTTTCAAAAAATATATTTTACATATAGTACTGCAATTGAGATATTAAACAACACTTTACTAGAATGATTTGATATCATTTTATCTAACCTCTTGCTTCCAATCTTTGTGCCACTGAGTCTGACATGTTGTTCAGAGATGGAGGGTGACCCATTGATGGCAGCCATCAGGTCCACTCAGACATTCCATGGGACCTGTGTGTTCCTCTAGTGTGGTGGAATCTGGGCCAGGTATTCTCAGCTTTGGTTCACAGAGTTCTAGGGGTGCTTCTCCAAACCATAAAGCCAAGACTATCCCGTGAGAGACCACGACGCCGACCCAGATGGGCATGAAAGCAGGAGGCTCCTCCAGATTCCCAGAAATGACTCCAGGTGGATTCCTTTTGTCGTGTTTTGTCTGATGCCTGACTCTGTCCTCCTCCAGATTCCCAGAAATGACTCCAGGTGGATTCCTTTTGTCGTGTCTTGTCTGATGCCTGACTCTATCTGGCCCACGTGCACTGGCCTGTTGCCCATCTTTTGCTACACTTTACAGGAATTAGTTTTTCTGATGATAGCCTTTTAAAAGAAATTTTTTTTTTTCAAAACCAGAGTGAATTTTCTCACAAATTCAAGTAATTCCAGTTGAAGAAATGAATGTGCCACGTGTAAGAGCAGGACATGCTAAAGACTTGCCTCTCCTCTCTCCCTTTCTCTCTCTCTCTCTCTCTCTCTCTCTCTCTCTCTCTCTCTCTCTCT